AACAATTTTATATAAATAGACCTGTAAGTTGACCTTGAATCAACAGAGTTTTGCTCAGGAATTGAGATAAGTCTTGGGATTAGACTTATAACTCTACAGTTAATAAAGTTACTATTTTACACTTTTAACCTTCTTCTTGTCTTCATCATAAGATTGATCGTGATAACCTACTACACAAGTGAATCGTGATAATAAATTGTTTCGTTTGATAATCGTTAATTTCTCTTAAGAAAGGCCTTTGAGATAATTGTGTTATTAAGTTTATTGATTTTGTTAGCTTGGTTTGAGATGATTCCAGATCTAACACCGTACATTATTAACAATTTTGAATAATGGGTAAGAAAGATAAATATTAACATAATATCTATAATATTATAATATATAATATTTACTAATCTATTTTATTAATCTTTCTAATTTTACAGCGTTACAACATTCATCTAATCTGAATGCTACAATGGATAAAAAAAAAGAAAAAGTTATGACAATGATATTATTTGCAGAAACAGTATATAAATACCATTAACAACTAGCATACCATTTTTTTCTTTAGCCTGATGATCCAATGATTTTGAAATGTCACAATTACGATAATTGTAAGAAACAAGAAAAAGATAAACCAGATTTTTGTAATGTAACAGCAGAGGCATTACGGTTTATTAGAATTGTAAAAGTATTATTACAATATGCGGTAATTCAAGTAATAACATATATTACATAACTTATGATGATATAGTAGATGTGTTTTATGGAAATAAGAATAATAATGTAACTAAAAAAAACCTTATGCAAGTATCAGAATATCTCTCAAATCGTTTTCAAACAAGATTACATCCAAAAAAAAATGTGTTTTTATTTACTAAATTCTTTAATTGATAAAAAAATTATTATTCAAGTTATTGATCTTCAAAAAGTTCATTCTGAATCTTCAGTATTGACTCATAGTTGTAAAATTGTAGAAATTTGCGAAAATGCAGAAAATAATATTACTTTTATAATTTGGCAACAGTTTTTGAAATAAATAAGAAACTTATTAACATATGATTGGCTAATATAAATTGTGATCAGGTGATACTAATTTGTTACTATTTTTATAATGTTATACATGTCAATCACTGAATCAGTTATCAATTATTATCAATTATATACAAAAGACCCTACCCTTAACCAATTATAGATTGATATTGTAATTGTTAAAATTGGAAAACATTTATGTAAAACATATTTTGTTGCTTGTGTAAAATACTATAAATAAATTAATTAAATTAATTGAAAAATATATCATAATACAATTAATTATATTATTTCTTGCTTCTAATAAATTTTTTATTTCTTTTAATAAATTCTATTCATAATCATTTAAAATACATAATCTTAATTCCTATTTAGATGTTCTTGTATTATCTAAAGTCTTTAATAATTATAATAATTAAATTTAGTTATAATAATAAATTTTTAATACTAATCTCACATAATTCAAAACTACGTTTAATCATATCATAAGTAAAATTTTATCTTGTCTTTATATCTAATATAAGTTCTTTTATAGAAAAAAACCTGCATCACATTGATGTAAAAATTTTTATAACGTTAAGGTGAAGCTCTAATTTTAATAATAAGCTTACAAAGCTATATTATAAATAAATATAATAAAAATTATGTTATAAATTAATTTAAAAATTTAAAAAATTTAAAAAATACATATATTATTACCTTTAATACTACGCTACTTGTTACTTCTTTTATTATTCTAAATATATTAAGTATATATTATTGGATAGGAAAATATAATATTAATTATAAGACTAAATGATTAGATAATAATAAATTAAATATTAGTTTATTTTTATTAATCATAAAAATCTATAAAGATTTGTATGATTCTATTTTAATTAAATAATAAAATTTCTTATAAATATTATATATATTTAACTTCTAATCAAAATTGTAAAATTAGTATATTATCTATTGTTTATAAAATATTAAATTTTTAATTAATTTTTTATTATAAAATATACAATAATAAAATATTTATTATATTTTAACTATAAATAATTAGTATAATTATGTTAATGATATTAATAATAAAACTAAATACATAAAAAAATTTTATTTATATTTTTAATATTTTAATTAATAAAAATAATAGTATAATTAATACAAAACTATAATAATTAATGATATTTATTAATTTATTTTAATATTAGTAATTAATTTAAATTTAATATAATTAATAAAAAATTTTTTATTAAATTTTTAATTATTTAATTTATTTATAGAATAACTTATCTGATTAATTGATTTAAATTATTTTAATTAATTATAATTTTTGAAATTAAATTTATTTCATTTAGAAAAATTATATAGTAATTTTTAGATTATATTTTAAAATATTAAATAAAAAATCTGAAATCTTTATTTTAAAATCTTAAATTAAAATAAATATTAATAAAAATTTTTAATTAAATTTTTTTTTATCTAGTAAAAAACTAATATTAACTTATCTTATAAACTAATCTGAAATCTTTAATTATAGAATTTTAATTAAAGATAAGTCTAATAGAAATTTTTAATTAAAAATAAATAAATTAATTAATTTATTTTATAGAACTATTTAAAAATTTAAATTGTAAAATCTTTAAATAAAAATAGTAAATTTTAAAAAAAAATTTAATATTAATATATTTTATAAACTAATTTAAACCTTTAAAATTATAAAGTTTTTAAAAATAAATTTTAATAAAAAACTTTTAATTAAAATTTTTTTTAATTTAAAAAAATTATTTATCTTATAAAATAATTTGAAACTTTTATATTATAAAATTTTTGGATTAAAGTTAGTCTTAATATATTAATTTATTTTATAGAATCTCTAATATAAATCTTTAAATTAAAAGATAAGTCTTATTAAAAAAATTTTAATTAAAATCTTTTTTAATTTAAAAATTAATTAAATTTATTTTAATTTATTTGACAAGTATAATTTATATTAAAATGATATTTGTGAGATAAAAATAATCTTAAATTATAATTACAAAAACTGATTTTGAAAAATTATACTTAAATTGAAATAGAAAATATTATTATAATAATTTTTCATATACTATTTAGGTAAGAACTTATAATTATATCGCATACCTCTTATAATAAAATCTTTAATAAAAAATACTCAAATATTTAGATAAAAAAATTGATTATTAGACTTCATATAATACTTGATATATATTAGCAGTAATTGATCAAAATAATAGATTAAATATAATGCTTTTGAAAGTTTGTATAATAGTTACAGAAATAGATTTTTTATTTTTAAATATATATAATATATTAAAATTTATATAATAAAGATCTTAACAAGTTATTAGAAATTGTAATACAATTTAATAATAAAATAAAATAAGAAAAGAAAAGTTTGCAAATAAAAAAAAAATTTGTAAATTTTGATTTTAATAAAATAAATATATATATATATTTTTTCTTTTTTATATATTATATAAAATTTATTAATAGATTAAGTTTTTTTAATTGTAGAATTAGTATCTTATAAAATAAAATATCAAAACAAATTTATAAAAATTTTTTAATCATCATTTAATATTTTATAGTAAATTTTGATATAATTATAAAATGTATTAAATGCCATGTATTTACAAAAAAAAATTATATAATTTATGTAATATTTGCTTATTTTATATAGATGTAGAATTGTAATATTAAATTATTAATACTATATATATACTTAAAGAATAATAAAAAGAATTACTTAATAAAAAAACACTTATTTTACTTATTATATTAAGAATTTTTGAATTTGATGAATTTCAAAATGAACAAATAAAAGCTAACATTACTTATTTAAATAATAAGGATATTTTATATTTTAGAATGACTAAAAAAGAAAAACTTTATATTATGCTTTATCAGCTATTTATTTTACAGATTTTATTATTGTATTTAATCCTCTTAAAGTATTTATAAAAGATTAAAAAATTAAAAATTAATAATTATAATATATATTAATATTATACTTATATATAATTTTTATTATTAATAAGAACTTATAAAGTAGATATTTCATGTACTATCTTATATATTAATTTAGTACAAAAATTTGTATTTAAGAAAAAATCTTTAATAAAATAATATATAAATTGGTAAAAGTATAATTTGTTACACCTGAAAAATTAAGAATTTTATAAATTTATTATATGATTATAACAGAAAAAGTTCAGTTTATGAAAGAAACTCTTTCCGCTACCATGCCAAGACCAAAGAAAGAGAACAAAACAAACTAACAAAAACAACAACCTCACTCTCGCCTTGGTACTCCAGAGCAACAACCAAAAAAAAAACAAAACACCTTACAAACTGTTAAACCCGAAAGCAGTATGTCCACTAACAGTAACAACGTCAAAACTCCACTTATGGACGTCAACCCCTCTCCACTCGATAAAGGAAAGGGCAAAGAAGTTTTACAAAGTGAAATAACTTTAGTTGTCACTACAGAACAAAGTGAAATGAACGTCAACAACGCAAATAACGCCTCTGAAAATTTTTTGAACAACAAAAAAAAGCCTTCAAGATATTTCAACGAAAAAGACGAAATTTTTCGCTTTCTTCCCAACAGACGACTACCCTGGAAAATCCTCCTAAACAAAAGTTTCTGACGTTACAGACCTTATGTTCAATAGATTTGATTCTTTCTCCAGTGTCGCCCTAGCCAAACACCCAGAAGACCAATCAAAAAGTATACTCAAGGTGACATTTTTTGACAAAGAAGAAAGGGACGTGTTCTGCAAGGTCAACCTACCTAATTTAGAAAATTGCACATTTTTGCCCCTCGACATTGTCTTTAAACATCCTTTTATACCACAACAATCAATCAAAGTTACGGAGGTTCTATTGGACGCAACTGAAAATAGAATTAAGAAAATATTCTCCCGATTTAGAAAGATCATCAGGTTCAACATGGAAACAAGAACTTATGGCAACAAGCCACAATTACATACGACAACAACGCCAACTTCACAGAACTTCAAAAAGGCCATGGTGTCTTCATTCTCAATGATATGGTGCGATTTCATATGTGTGATCTATCAAGGGACCAAATATTAGAACGATCAGAGTTTTCGGCTAAGCTCACATGCCTCTTACGTTACACTATAGGTAAAGATTTATCTGAACTTGGATTAATGACCAACGTGATAACATGGATCATCCCTAAGGCTAGATCCAACTACAACAACTTATAGCATGCTTTCTTCTACTTCGCATCGGCGGAAGATCACGAAGCAGCAATCAGTAATAATAACCTTATGATTAACGGTAAACACGTAGAATAGACAAGTAACAAAATGAAATTATGCGTCATTTGTTCCTTCCCTCATCATAAAAATAAAAGAATGTAATAAAAAACGAAGAACACCCAATAACAGAAATACACAGAACTTGTATTAACGTTTTCAGCCCGCTCAATACAACAACTACAAGGCTCCGTCCCATCCTAGATGAGAAACAATTAATCTGAATGTAACGTTTGCCGGAATAATCAAAGAAAGTCAGACCTTCACCCTCAAATAAGCCAAAATTTGGTATTTCCAACAATGAAGATGGATCCTTTGCGTTAAGAGGTCCGAACAATACACCACTCCCTTCCTGGGCTGATGATGTCCTACCTGATATAAATGTCATCAACAATACACTTACTCCAAAGCAATCACGTGATATAGCCACTAGCACAAAAGCTGGAGGCTCCATGCATGAGAAATCTAATGAAGAGGACGTTTTCAAAGCATTTATCAAGGAAAGCTTTTATCACCTAATTCAGAAACTCGAAGATTTTACAATTGCCATAGGTTCCATTATGAAAAGAATGGATATCATAGAAAATACCCTCAATATCAAGGTCTTAGCTCCAGATGAAAACATGAACGATTCAGATATGGTGTATGGTTATGACACCCTGGCCATTGATACATCCAATTCAGTTATCAACAAATAAAGACGCACCATTGAGGCCCTTAAAGAGATTAATGATGCCTAAAATCTTCGGCTAAAGCATTTCACAGAAACGGTAAATGACTTGGTAAACTCGTGTAATGCCTTTCGCATGATTCTCGCCCAAAATAATTTATTACTAACAGAAAAAACAGCAGAAATATTGACCCTCAACACTAACTACGACATAACTGCAGACAAGGCTCTAAAGAGCCTTCCTCAATTTTAAATCAAATAATCATGATTACTGTCTCTACAGATACTAATAACGCTTCAACATCCTCAATTACTGACAACTCCACCCTTCTAATAAATATTCCAAATCTTACCATTACTACCCACAATGTCAGATCATTCACAAATACCGCAAAACAACATTTCCTCCTTTCTCTTTATTCCGCACATGACATAGATATCATCGGCCTTTAAGAAACTAACTTTAAACAAACACATGCAAAAAACTTCTATCCAACTCATTCCTCCTACATCTCATTCTTCAGTTCAACACCAAGACAGAAAATAGCCTTCGGAGTTGGAATCATATTAAAGAAAGACATCGCCCATCATGTTTTTAAACATGATACAAAGCTAGATCGACTAATTTACGTAGATTTGCAGTTTGCTAATAAATAAAAACTACATGTTATTAACTATTATTTACCACCTGCAGACTTGAAAACCAGACAGGAAGTCCAACATATACTTACAAAATGGATCAAAGAAGCTTTATCCCTAGATTATTATGTGGCTGTACTAGGAGATTTCAATGCTGATATGGACCGCCAACATAACCTGACAAATGCACTCAAATATTTCGACACGTTGCTTAGAATGTCTATGTTTGATGCCTTCACCCTCAAACATGACTATGCAAGAACCCGCTTTCCTTCGTATACCAATAGTCAAAGCACCTCAAGAATTGACTATATATGGACATCAACGGAACTCTCTGTCAATATACTGGATTGTTATACCATTCTGATAAATACAGATATATCTGATTACCTACCAGTCATAACAAAGTGTGCTAACTTCTTAGATATCAAATTCAACAAATAGAAAATAAAAGCGAAACTTAGTTTTGACTTTAACAAAATGGATGATCATAAATGGAACAAATTTGAAAACAAATTGGATGCACTATTAAACGGCTGCTCACTGAAAACCGTAAACGTTAACACTTTCTGAACGCAATAGTTGCTCAACAAACAATGGGATCAGTTCCAAGATTTACTGATTAAAGCGGCTGAATCAACTATTCCTATTCGAAAATCAACAGGACAATTTAAATACCCAAGAC